TATCTGTTCGCTCGGACTTGGAAGAACAGAATCCCAACTCCTTGCACCTAGCTATGTTTTGCCGCTTCCCACGACGGGGTATTGGCTAAAATGTCAACCTCTCATTCTACCATAAACACTCCAGCCTCTACCCTTAAGCTTAACTCTTGGAATGTAAGGGAAGTAAATACGCCTAGCAAGAGAAAAAAAATCTTAACATACATTTTCCCCTCCCCTATAATCTTCTCCCCCCTCCCCTATAATCTCCCCCCCAATAATTTTCTCCCCTCCTATATAATCTCCTCCCCCCTCCCCTATAATCTTATTCCCCTCCCCATAATCTTCCCCCTCCCTCCATAATCTTCTCCCCTAATCCTCCCCTCAAATAATCTTCTCCTCCCTATAATCTCTCCCCCCTCCCCTATAATCTTATTCCCCCTCCCCATCCCCCTCCCCTCCATAATCTCCACCCTCATAATCTTCTCCCCCCTCCCCATAATCTTCTCCCCCCCCTATAATCTTCTCCTCCCTCCCCTGTAATACTCTCCTCACCTCCCCTGTAGCGTGGCCGAGCTCCTATCCGGTCCACGAATCAGTCTCAAATTGTCCTACTCCAGGAAACCCACTGGTCCTGTTCTGACAACACTCAACTCAAGGCTCTGTGGATTCAATCCTGCATAGCAGCCAAATACAACTTTAAGGCCAGAGGTGTGGCGATTCTCCTACACTCCGGCATGCAATATGTGATCCACAGCTGTGATATTGATCCTGAGGGACATTATTTTATGTATTACCATTAACAACACGTGTTATTGCATAGTCAATGTTTATGCCCCAAACTCCTCTACCGCCCTCTTTTTTACTAAGCTCTTGACGTTGCTCACTCAAATAGAGGTTGATCAGCTTATAATGGGGGAGACTTTAACGCTGTCTTTGACCCCCCAAAGGACAGGTCCTCGGCAGGACCCTTGCCTCCCATGGACAGTGATCACAACTTCCTTTAATTTGCATGACCCCTGGAGGATACTCCATGGAAATGAAAGAGACTACACATTCCACTCTCCAGTTCACAACTCCTTCTCTCGAACTGATGTGTTCCTGGTTACCCCAACAGTTATACCACATGTCAACTCATCCACTATAGAGACAATCACTGTCTCTGATCACGCACCTGTCACACTACTTCTCTCCACAAAGCCCTCACACCCCATTACCGCACGTTGGCGTTTCCCAGCATATCTTACTAAAAAGCCATCTTTCCAGTGCCACTTACAGACTAGTTGGGCTAACTTTGTAGGTCATAATATGGAACATGTGGACGACCATAAAACAGATATTGTTATACATGGCATCAGTCAAAAAATAATGGAGGAGGGATTTCACTTCACTCGAACAGCAGCTCAAACGAGCCCATAGCCACTACTTGGCCAACCATTCCGACACACATAGGCAGTCATACCAAGATGCCCAACACACCCTAAATACCTTTATAGCAAACTATTCACAATCGAAGCTAGACATCCAAACACAACATTTCTGTCAGTGGGGGGGAAGGTCTGAGAGATTGCTGGCCCAAATGGCCAACCCTAAGTCCGAATTCAAGCCTATTACAGCAATCACCTCCCCAGACGGGACTAGGAGTACCTCCCATATGGCCATCAACAAACTATTCTATGATTACTACAAAACAATAACTGGAGCACAGCAGGATGACCATATACATAGCATGGCTTTCCTCAAGAGCCTTGACCTTCCCCAGCTGAGTGAGGAGTCCAGGGAACTTCTCAGTGAACCTATCTCAGAGTGTGAAATTCACATAGCAATAAAGACCCTCAAGTCAGGGAAAGCACCAGGTCCTGACAGATTTACCTCAGAGTACTATAAATCCCTGAAACAACAGCTTAGTCCCACTCTCAAAAACTTGTTCAATAAAATATATTTAGAAGGCCTGTCAATAGATGAACTTAATCAAGCCAGAATATACCAAAACTCGACAGGGATGCTGAGAATTTAGCTTCCTATCGCCCAATATCATTACTTAATCAGGATGTCAAACTGCTTACCAAAATCATTGCTCTGAGAATACAATAGTTTCTGCCACACCTCTCACCAACTAAGCTTTGTGAGGGGCAGGCAGGGAGTGACAGGGGTCCACGGAGCTCTTGCAGCCATGGCTTATGCCACACGTGAGGAACTAGACTCATACTCCCCATCCCTTATTAGCCTTGACATAGAGAAGGCTTTTGATAGCATATCCTGGCTGCACCTGATTAGGGTGTTAAAGTTGAGATACTTCAGTCACACATTTGTCCATTTTATTCAAAATTTACACCATCACCCCACCACCTGTATAACCACAAATGGCCTGGACTCACCATACTTTGCCCTGGGGAGGGGAGTACGCCAGGGCTGCCCGCTCTAGCCTCTGTTGTTTAATCTTGCCATCGACCCGTTACTGAGAGCTATTGAGAAGTTACAGGGGTTTAGAAGCATACCAATGGGTGACGTTACACTGAAAGTCACAGCATTAGCTTATGATCTGTTACTCTTTATCACTGTCCCACTTTGCTCCCTGTCGCCCCTTGTTGACTTGCTGGAAACATTTCATGACATGGCGGGCCTAAGAGTTAATTGGGCTAAATCATGTGCCCTTCACTTGCGTGGACGCCCTCCGCCACCACTCCCTCGAGGACTTCCTCTGCAGTGGCAATCAAGGGCGCTTTAATATCTTGGCATTAAGGTCCCTGGAGATCTCTCCCTCATATATACATTAAATATTCCGCCAATCTTAATGGCCATCTTTGCAGAGTTTGAACACTGGCACAATTTGCCTTTATCTTACATTGGAAGGGCCAATCTATACAAATTGGTCAGTTTTCCTAAACTGCTATATCCCCTCCAGATGCTCCCAATACTCCTCTCAAAAAGTGACGAGTGTTTGTTGAACAAACATCTCAGACAATATCTCTGGTAGGGTGTAGGGCACAACTTAGCCTTACCAAATTAAACCAACACAGGGCTGATGGTGGTCTAAAACTGCCTAATGCCAGGGAATACAGTTTGGCAGCACAGCTTAGACATGCGCTAGACTCAAAACAGATTTTTTTAACTTGTCCTTGGAGTCCTATCTGGCATCACCAAACCCACTCATGGCTCCCCTTCACAGGCCACACCACCTACTCACTGACTATATCCTATCTAACCCCTCCTGCCTACCCCTATTAGGGCATGCAAATAGTCTCGCCCCAAACTGGGTGTTGACCCAATACGTACCATTCACCTACCTTTAACTCAAAACCCGGTCTTTCACGGTGTGGGCGGAGGGTGGCAATTCTGAAAGGGTGTTTTCAGTGATCAAAAGAGCCCTGAGACACAATGCCATCCATGAGTTAAACTGAAAAACTAAATATTTAATCTTTGGTGACACTTAAATAGAATTTGCATAATAATTTGGAACAGGGTGTATTATTATTAAAATACACTTATATAATCTATATGTACAAGCACTCTTTTATCCGTGTTGGTGAAAAGTATCGAGGTGGCCAAAACACCTCAAACTATACAAAATACAAAAAAATGATACTGCACTCATAAATCAGATAAATTTCATTGCTAAATTTAATAAATCATTGGTAAATTACTTGTCTTGCGTGAATATAATTCATTAGGAAAGTTATGTTTTGAAGTCCGACAAATTAATAATATATACACATATAAATTGATAAGTCTGGAGAGTTGATAATATATACACGATGAAATGATAATATATACAAGCAAATTAATAGAAAAATTGCTTCTCCTGTTGAAACTTCATGTTAATTATAGGAGTCCCTGACTAAATAGCTGTATTAGATATTCCAAAAAGGTTTTTGTATCATCCAGAAAAAATCCAATAAATGGGAACAAAAGAAGAAAAAAATAAGAAAAATTGTCCAAAGCTCCTCTTTTTAGAAAAAAGAAGAAAAAGAAAAAAAGTAGAAAAAGGATAAAAGAAAAAAGATGAAAAAAAGGTAAATGTCAACAGTTTATTAAATTTAGCAATGAAATGTATCTGATTTATGAGTGCAGTATCATTTTTTTGTATTTAAAATACACTTAGAATGAAGTTACATATATATATATATATATATATAATGCCTATATATCTATTTTATATGTATATATATATATATATATATATATATACGTATAATTACAATACCGTATATACTCGAGTAAAGGTTGACCCGAATATAAGTCGAGACCCCTAATTTTACCCCCAAAAACTGGGAAAACTTATTGAATTGAGTATAAGACTAAGGTGGGAAATGCAGCAGCTACTGGTAAATTTCTAAATAAAATTAGATCCCCAAAAAATTATATTAATTGAATATTTATTTACAGTGTGTGTATATAATGAATGCAGTGTGTGTGTATATAATGCAGTGTGTTTGTATGAATGCAGTGTGTGTATGAATGCTGTGTGTGTGTCTATGAATGTAGTGTGTGTATGAGTGCAGTGTGTGTGTATGAATGCAGTGTGTGTATGTATGAAAGCCGGGTGTGTGTGTATGAATGCAGTGTGTGTGTGTCTGTTAATTGAATATTTATTTACAGTGTGTGTATATAATGAATGCAGTGTGTGTGTATATAATGCAGTGTGTTTGTATGAATGCAGTGTGTGTATGAATGCTGTGTGTGTGTGTGTGTGTATGAATGTAGTGTGTGTATGAGTGCAGTGTGTGTGTATGAATGCAGTGTGTGTGTGTCTGTATGAGTACAGTGTGTGTATGTGATGCAGAGCCTTGGTGGGGGGTGGGCATATTTATTATTTTTTTTAATTATTATTATTATTATTTTTATATATATATTAAAATTCTACGTGTATTTAAGTAATCTTTTAACATAAATATGTGATGTAAAGGGGGCGGAGCCAGATGCCTAACTGAACGGACGCGTCCTGCAGGAGCTCTGGCTACACGGAAAACTGAAAATGCTAAATACCCAGTTTGGATCCAAAAACACTGCCCAAGAGTGAGCTGATGCCTACAGCTACCAGGGGGCATAAGTCAAAGAAGTATCGGGAAGATAAGCCCCAGACAACCGCCGATATTGGCGATCTCCTATGGAGGCCCCAAAGCTCCACAAGACCTGTCATGGTGCCTCTCTCGGATGGGCCGTCATGTTCATCCAGCGAAACATCCCTCACCGATCTGAGAGAGCTGGAGACACTGACAAGAAGTAAGCAGGCTTATAAACCGTCAGACCAAAAAACTGGGGTGCCAGTGACGGAATCCACCCTGAAGGCCCTCCTAGACGAGTTACGCCACAATATCGCTACTGACATCTCTGCATTCAGAGAAGAAATCAGCAGAGTCTCGTCCCGTCTACATGATATGGAGGTGACCACAGCAGGCCATGAGACACGGCTTACAACACTGAAGCGGGAACTCTCTGCGCTAAAGTGCGAACAGGCAAAGACACAACACCACATGGCCGCAATTGAGGACCGGAGGCGGTGCAAGAATGTAAAGGTCCGTGGCCTTCCAGACACTGTCGCCATAGCTGAAATACCTCACCTGATCCAGAGGCTTCTGACCCAATTATTCTCCACCAAACCAGCAAAATTGATGACACTGGACGGCTGCTATAGACTCCCAGTTCCACCCGCAGTTCCAAAACGGTCCCGACAAACATGTGTTCATGACCGCCATCCGCAACAAGTCACTCTACACCTTTGAAGATCATCAGCTGACATTCTACCCAGATCTCTCCAGAGCAACCCTAGACTGGAGAAGGTCCCTGAGACCCTTAACTGTGGCACTTATAAAGCACAAGGTGCCTTACAGATGGGGAGCACCGAGGAGCCTTCTGATCCCCCAAGAATCTGGGACATTGAAAGTGCTGGAGGATACAGAAATACCCAGCACTCTACAGAAAATCAGGCTGGCTGCTACATCAGAGGGATCACCGACCCCTGCTCCGGCCACACAGCCAAATTGCCTGGGACGCCTTAAGAGTGCGCCCTTTGTTCCTGCCATGCTGCAGGGTAACCCTGCAACTACCGATGTGTCCTGAACTGCCAAAGACCGCAAGCAGTGACTCCGTCCTGTTTCTGTTATAGATTGTTTTTGTTTTTTATTATTCTCTTTTGCTTTTCTAAGTTTAACATAACCACACTGAATCACTGCACCGACATGATCATATCGTAATGTCCACTCAATGGTATGTGTCCCTCTACCCTCATTCACCCGCTGGCATTGGGATTACTCTCCCTTTATCCCCATCCACTCACCCTACTTATATTGAGTGATGTGAGTGCCATCCTCTTGCCAAACTATTGCTCCACTCTTATAAATAGCAAGAGTTACATGACCCGCGATACCCCTCAACTCCAAGTTATACCCTACATCATCTCTTACAGGGATTGCGGGATCAGTCCCCACTGCTTCATCCACCTTTCTTTTAATTTTTCTTTTCTTTTTCAATTTTTAACTTCATCATACAAATCTCTCATCCACTAGCTCACACTACTGTCCATAATATTGGCTTATGTTGTGCATTGTAATATGTCATTTTTAGCACTCTTATTCCCGAACAAAGACTGCACCTTAGTGGATCAAGCACGCAGTTAGCAATATAAAAATGTAAAATTGTGCAAATGTCTTCTATAGTATGCCATGCCATTGTTATAATTTGTCCTTAATTGTTGTGCACGCAGCTGTTGTCATGGCACTGCATGCATATATGTTCAAGCTTGCACTTTCAAAATAAAGAATTAAAAAAAAAAAATTATTCGATTTAATTAATAAAAATTTGATTGACGTTCCTCACAACCCAGGCAGAAAGTGCAGAGAATTTAATTTGCAAGCACTGTATTTAACACTGTAACTTTCCAAGACACCATAAAACCTGTACATGAGGGTACTGTTTTACTCAGAAGACTTTGCTGAACACAAATATTAGTAATTCAAAATGATAAATTGTATTACAACTATGTTATTTTCAGTAAAAGTTAAGTTTTTTGCATTTTTCACACACGAAAGTCACTTTTACTGACGATATTATTGTAATATATTTTACTGTTTTTAAATACTTATGTTTGTGTTCAGTGAAGTCTCCCAAGTATAACAGTACCCCCCATGTACAGGTTTTGGAAAGTCAGAGAGTTAAATATAAAGCTTGCATGACTAAGTGGCTACTAAAAAAGACTGGACATACCCCACTTGCAATACCTTCGGTTGTGCACTTTTGCAAATGGTATGCCATCATGGGGGTAATTCTCATTCCTGGGCAAACACATGGTCTCAAAGGTAACATTACTAATCTGGCAAATTGTAATGTGAAAAAAATAAAAAATGGAATGTGCTATATTTGACCCTGTAACTTTCCAAAACACAGTAAAATCTGTAAATGGGGGGAACTGTTGTACTCGTGAGACTTTGCTGAATACAAATATGTGCATTTTATTGCAGTAAAAGCTAACACTATTATGACATTTACATCTAAAATGTCAGACGGAACTACAATTTTTTTTTAATCTTAATTTTTCACAGTTTTTTAAATTTTATTCATAATAAATTATGTTTCAAATATGATTAGTTCATGAGTAATTAAATCCCTGTTTCTCCTGAATAAAATTATATATAATAAGTGTGGGTGCACTTAATATGAAAGAGGTGTTTTACGGTTGAACAGACATATAACGCAAATTCCAGTTTTTGTTTACATTTTGCTTTGATCACAACGTGTACTATTGACTCCGTCCTGAAGTGGTTAATTTCAATTATATAATTTGAGGGTTGATATAGCATTTTTGTGATGGGTATTTAATTGTCCCCAAGGATAACTCACATGGATAACTCATAGTTAAGGATAACTCACATTATGCCTTTCATTTTTTCATATGTAAATATACCAGGCTTTTTTACAACCATGTTGGTAACTAGCTGCTATAAGCTGTCCCTATTAACAACATGTAGCTTGTAGTAGCTACAAATCAAGGGTAACATCTTGGCACACATTTGTAATTTTGTAGTCAGGAAACAGATACTTCTTAATAACACTACCATAGTCATGGTAGTGAGTAGTGGGCACTAAATTTTGTTTTGAAACTGATGAACATATTCTGATAAAGCAATTTTGGAGTGCTCATATCTATTGTATATATATAAAGACAAAATATTCCTTGCACTCACGTAATCCTTGAATATTGCCTGGTGCATAAGCCAGCTGACAAACTTGCTATAGAAACCACAATGATGATGGCTGCACTCCTCGGACTTCTTAAAAATTCAAAATGCTTTATTATAAATCTATTAAAATGATCATTTTAATGGATTTATAATAAAGCATTTTGAATTTTTAAGAAGTCCAAGGAGTGCAGCCATCATCATTGTGGTTTATATATATATATATATATATATATATATATATATATATATATATATATACACACGCAGCGTGTGTGTTTGTGCTTTAGGGTGCACACCCTTATACAATAGGCTGCGTCTATGATAATCTCTCAAAATTCTATTTCAAAATATAATGAAAAACTATAAATTGCAGGGCCATGCTATGAATAAAATACTTTGAGAAGGGAAGTATGCATGAAAAGTAATCTAACAATTCCCTAAAAATTTGTAACCAATTAAAAATATATCAGAAATCTGTACTTTATTATTTGATTGTCCCCCCATTCTCTACATCACTGGTTCCCAACCCTGTCTAAGGTGTTTTTGGGGAAAAAACAAAAAACACTTTAGACACAACAGGGTAATCTCTAAATCCGGGACTGGTAGGGGGTACTTGAGGACTGGGTTGGGAACCCCTGCTCTACATCAATAGAACATCATTCACGGAAGTCATTAATTTAATTTTCGTATCTTCACAGTTACCTAATTAATCAATTTATTATTCAGAGTTTATTATTTTGGCAGACTAAATTATTTTATAAGGGAGTGAAATACTTAGGGAATAAAATTGAATAGATACAGTTAAAATCCCTCCCAATTTATTGTTAAAAATCCCTTATGTGGGATTACCATATTTAAGGGTATTGCTACTAAATTATAATGCTGTGTTTCATTGATAACTCTCTAATTAAATTAAAAAATCTCAGTCCCACATGTTGGTAATAAAGTTGGTAAATATCTACTAAAGAGCTATAAGAACACACTTAATGAAAGGGCGATTCTTAGTATTGATCTTTCATCTGGATTGTCATAATAAAGGATAGCAAAATAGGCATGATATAGTAAACACAGCTATCTCTCAAATGTAGTATTCTTATATATTTAAATCCCACAGTAGGGTGCCAATTTTGTTTAAGGAGTTATCAATATCTACTAAACAGATAAAAGATCAAAATTAAGAAAATAAATTTTCTCAATTTTGATCTTTCAGCTGCTTAGCAGATAGCTCATTAATTGGGAATCCTGATGAAGATACCAAAATAGGGAGCTATCTACTAAACACAGCTCCCTCCCTAATTAGGTATCCTTAAATATGGCAATTCCATATAATGGTACCAGATTAGAAGCTTATCTACTTTGTAAACCACTGAATGAATGACAATATGGGACACGTTTTGTCCGATACAAATCGACTAATGGATGAAATTCGTTTTGGATGAAACAACATTTATTTTTGTTTGAATTCACTTGAACAAACTGAGACATTATATATTTTAAAAATGTTTTTGGGGACAGAAAAAAACCTAGAATTTCCCATAAAAAAAACTATGTTGTAAATTGAAAGATTTATATAATTTCCTGATATTTTTCAGACACCTGATTCAATAATGATTGCACACAAGTTAACATGTAAGATAAAAGTGACAGATCAAACTGTCTGGTAGTTAATGGAAAAACATGCTCTTAAAATTACAAACCCTTCTTGGATAATATGGAGACATCCCAACATTAAATAAAAGGAACATTAGTAACAAAATTGCCAGAAATATATTCCAGACACTAGGTTATATCAAAAAAATAATTTTAATGTAAATGACACTCTCTCTTTAATAACCTTATTTGAAATACTTTCATTATATCTAAGTAATGTAAACCTAGTTAAATGGAAAGCCACAGGAATTAATCAGGTGGGAAAACTATATGAGGGGAAGATATTAAAAACCTTTAATGCATTACAGGAGTTGAATATTTATTTAAAAAAAAGAAATTTCTGACCTATACAAATAACAAATATGCTTAACAAAAAAAACAATAACTACAAATATATTTTGGGCAATATTGACCAGACAGTTGGGAAAAAAAAATTAATAAATAGAATTATTCCTTTTTTTATGACTGTAAACCTAGGGGAAAATGTTAATGTACAACTAAATGGGAACAAGATTTTGGAGTAGTGTACACAGGGGAGGACTGGGCTATGGTTTCCAAGTCGATGAAAAAAAAGGATTCATTATAGCAATATTTATGACACAATATGTATGTTGAAGATGTGGTCTAGATAGAGGTACACAAAAACATATTTGGTGGGACTGCACAAAGCTATTTCTTTTGCTAAATAAGCTAGTAGATATTCTTGAGAAAATATTGGACCTAGACTCCACCTAGTACCCTGATCCTGTCAGCAACTGTGATCTACCCTAGATAGAAATATAGGCTAGGATTCTGTCTATTTAGACAGTGTCTTAAGACAGTAAGGATGCATGCAAGATTGTCTGTTGTGTGTATGTCTTCTCCCAGTTGTGTGAGGCGTTGGCAGGGGGACTTCATCGGACTCTGTATAGATGACATTAAAAATATTTTTAATCAACGCCCAGGGTCTCAATACACTGCAAAAAAGAGGCTATTTATATGACTTTAAAGTAAAAAATAAATCTGAATGATGCTTTGTGCAGGAGACCCATTGGAAGACTGGTGGAGCATGGTGTTTTACCAGACTTCCTATATCCTTTCCTTTTATTTGGAAGACCCAAGGGTTTTCTCCTTGGGTCTTCCAAATAAAAAGAAAAGAGGAGTCACAATTATCCTCACAGAATGGTTAAAATTTGAGCTGATTGTAGATTTAAAATATCCTGAAGGAAAATACTTGATATTGGTATGTAATATAAATTACATCTGCTACATCCTTGTTAATGTTTACTCTCCAAATATATACTCTCAAAAGTTCTTTTAAAAAAAATTCTAAAATAGATCAGGTCAAAAAAGGAATCCTGTTGATTGCTGGGGACATGCATATGGTACCAGATATAAAAGCAGATAAAACATAGCAATATTGCATTAAGGAGTCAGAAAGGTGGAGTAAGAGGAATAGTATTTATTTCCAGGGAGTCCTGCATGAATTTGGCCTATTTGACATATGGAGGGCCCAACACGCTAATGATCACAATTTTACTTTTTTTTTTTCAAAAGTTCACAAAGCTTATTCAAGAATTGATCAATTTTTAACTAAAAGTTGTAACCTGGTCGAATTTCGAGAAAACAAAAATTGGTATAATTACCTGGCCTGAAAACGCCCCAATACTTGTACAGATAGTGAAAATGGGCCGAGGGAGGACATGACTTCCTGGTGGATGAATGAAGAACTTGAAGAACTTGAAGAAACCCGGAAGTCAGGCTGAAGAATTATTTTTGAATAATGACAATAATGAGGTCAGTGGAGGCACACTATGGTGCGCCTTCAAAAGCGTCATACGAGGTGTTCTAATTAAGTTGGAGGCTCAACACAAGAAATCCTGTGGGAAAGATTTAAATAATTTGTATATTGTTTTAGCTAAGTTGGAGCAGGAAAACAGAAAAATGTTTACAGATCAGAGATCAGTTCAAATCAGTGAGACCCAATTGGAAATAAGAAATAAATTAGAAAAAAAAACAAACACCATAATAAAATTGAACCAATGTTGGTACCATGGGGATAATAGAGTTAGCAAGCATTTTTTGGACAAACCTAAAGGGACACTATAGTCACCCAGACAACTTTAGCTCAATGAACTGGTCTGGGTGCCAGGTCCCTCAGGTTTTTACCCTTCAGATGCAAACATAGCAGTTTCAGGGAAACTGCTATGTTTACATTTGGGGTTAAGGCAGCCTTTAGTGGCTGTCTTCTAGACAGCCACTAGAGGGGCATCTGCGACTCTGGAGGCATATTATGCCTCCATCGCGCAGAGCGTCCATAGGAAAGCATTGATAAATGCTTTCCTATGGACACTATGAATGAGCGTGCGACACTTGCCGTGCATGCGCATTCGGCTCCGCTGACGTCGGACGGGGGAGCTGACATCGACGGGAGAGGTGAGGTCACCAGCACCTAGGGACCCCGGCGCTGGAATAAGGTAAGCTGCTGAAGGGGTTTTGACCCCTTCAGCACCATGTGAGGGGCACCCTGAGGGTGGGGGCACCCTCAGGGCACTACAGTGTCAGGAAAACCGATTTGTTTTCCTGAAACTATAGTGATCCTTTAAGTTTGAAAAAAAAATACAAATAACTAGGAAGATAATTGAGGGAGACAAAGTTAATATCTCTCCATCAGATATAGATAAAGCTTTTGCCTCATATTACAAGGCTCTTTACAATCTCCCATCGGAACAGGCAACATCAGTAGCAAGCCACGAGTTCCTCAAAAATTTAAATTCACCAAGATTGGGTGAGGAAGACTTGAAGAAATTGAGTTCTCCTCTGACCCTGGATGAGGTCTCTAAATCTATTAAAGACCTTAAGGAGGGAAAATCCCCAGGGCCGGATGGTTACACAGCCCGTTTCCATAAGATAATGGAGCCTACCACAGCTCCAATCTTACTAAAAGTATTTGGAGAAATAGATAATGGTTGCCCGTTCCCATTGGAGATGTTACAAGCCTGTATAACCCCGATTCCTAAACCAAACAAAGATCATAATTTCATCACTACCTATCGCCCCATATGCCTGTTGAATACCGATATTAAAATATTTTCCAAGACCCTGGCGAAGAGATTAAAGGATTTCATGAGGACCGTGAGAGAGGCGTTAACCTTCACAAACTGTTACATCTGATCCATACCTGTAAATCTGTTTCCTCCATGGTGGCCTTCATGGCTCTGGACGTCGAAAAGGCCTTTGACAGAGTTAGCTGGCGCTATCTGTCTGATGTCTTGGAGGTGTTATGGGCAAGTGCAAATATTGCTTATTACAATATTAAAAGGCAAAGTTGTATTTTTTAAACTGTGTATTTTGTCTTTAAGATATTGCAAACTGACAAGGTGCTAAAAATGGAACATATTATTTTTCTTACATGTTTCTTTAATAAATAACCTCGTACCTAGTTTTAGTGCATAATATGCTGTGTACTTCTAACTTACACAATTTTGTCTTAGCTTAATACAAAAACAATGAATGCATAAACAAAGTTCAAGGCTATGCTACATAATAGCAATAACCTCTTACTTCTAGTAGTTCTAACCTACGCTATTTTATTGTAGCTTAATGGAATTTCCCATGACGTGTGCACGCTTACGTTTTAGTTATGGCCTTGTATCTTTGCCAAGTTAAGGGAGGTCCTAAAATGAACATTTAAGGAAGAAATAAGTACCTTTTTAATGTTAGCACACAGGGGGAGAGATTTGGAGACAAAAACGCTGCTCCATCTTATGACAGAGAGGCTGACATGTTGACATGTTTAGGAGGGTATGTTATTCTATTTTAATGATATTGCAAGCATATGCTTTAATCATATAAACTCTGCTATAAGCTATTGTAATAGATTTTATATGTATGTATTTATATTTTTATTTAATAAAATATCTAAAAAGACAAAACTTTATTGCTTCCAAGACAATCCTTATTTTATATTGTATTCTCAATTATTTAATATATATTTTAGATATGGGATTTCTTACTAACATATAATATTATGGCTACGATAACTGTATGGTTAACCCTGATAAGTTCTATGCTTTAAAATATTATAGTGGTAAATAGGGGAACCTGCTGTGGTTACAGAGGTGCTTGGAGTCACGGGGCCCATACTAGATAGGTGTCACATCATGCCATGTTCTGCGGAGATGTCTGGCTTTGGCTTCTGGTATCCAGTACTCTTTTTACAATTCTTGTTTAGTTTTTCTTGTTTTTTTGGTTTTCTATTCTATGCCTGGTTTTCTTTATGCTGAGTTTTTCTGGGTTCATTCCTGTAATCCATCCCTGGAATTCCCAGTGTCCAGGTTTCCTTTACATGTTTGTTTTATGTTGCCACACCCGTTTGTTTTCCATCATTCCTTTTGTTTCAGTGTCCTGCAGGCAGCTGCTCAAGCCTTCTGCCCTTTCTTGCAGGTAAGTGCTATTGTGGTTTAGTATGGTTCTTTTAGCGAACATTAGGCAGTGTAGGACCTGCCGAATATGGGGTACATTGGCGTTGTGGCAGGCTTATGCAATGTATGATCATATAATGTAACTAAATCCCCATACTTTTCATATATAGTGCTTAGTTATGTCTCCTCTTGTTTTGCCTATCATATCCTGTCTTGTTTTATTTTGTATTTCCAGTCCTTGTTCAGTCCTGTCCTGCCCCTGTTTAGTCAATGGTTCCTTTATGTATTGTGTACATGTTCTGGGTTTAACTTCCTATCCTTCTCTGGTTCTGGGTTCTACTAGTTTTCTCTTGTTTTCATGTTTGGTGCCTGTTCTAGTCTTGCCTTCTTTCAGTACTGGATACATACTTGCTGCAGAGGCTCCCTATCCAGTTCCTGGAAGGTCTGCTTAATTTCCTAGCTCCTAGTTCATGGGATCCGCATAAGCTGAATCAGGGTTCTGGTATGTGACTGCACCAACGCTGGTGCTCAACGCCAGAGGATGTGTGGTTACCCTGCACCAGGCCTTAATAGTCCATTACCACGCTGAAGACTCCCACTTCTCATCAGGCACTCAGGGGTCCCAGTTTCCATACCGTCACCTGTGACAGATGGCCGTAGGTACTTGGAGTTCATGGAGTGGACTTTGCAGCTTTCCTGTTCTGTCTGTGTCGTGTCATGCCTGGTTCTTTTGCATGCAAGAGATCCTGTATCTGGACCAGTCTGCTGGAGATGACTTCCTTATTTTTGTCGTGCAGGTGGTTGATCTGCTAAGTGGTCCAGTGGTCACTTCAGGTGTTCTCTTGTGATGCTTGGTTCCTTGTTCTAGTTCCTGTTGGTTACTCGGCATGCAAGAGTTCCTGTATATGGACCAGTCTGCTGGAGATGACTTCCTTATTTTTGTCGTGGAGGAGGTCGATCTGCTAAGCTGTACGGTGATCGCTACAGGTGTTCTCTTGTGATGCTTGGTTCCTTGTTCTAGTTCCTGTTGGTTATTCGGCATGCAAGAGTTCCTGTATATGGACCAGTCTGCTGGAGATGACTTCCTTATTTTTGTCGTGGAGGAGGTCGATCTGCTAAGCTGTACGGTGATCGCTTCAGGTGTTCTCTTGTGATGCTTGGTTCCTGTTTCATGGCAGTGCTCCTATTCTGGAGTGGATCTCGGTCCTGGCTGGTGGTTCCATTGCAGGAAACCTTTCCAAAGGAAGTAAAGTAGTTCGGAATGGCATTGTGAGCCGCAAACTACTTTCCTGCTGTGTCGGGGAATCCTTGCCTCCGGTAAGTCTTGAGGACTTAGTTGCTGGATCCTTGCTTCTTCCTGGTCTCTGCCTGAGAGCTGCATGTCGCGCCCAGAGGTCACTCCTTAAGAGGGGAGTTATGTCACATCATGCCATGTCTGGCACATATACAAACTGTTGTAATTCCTACACCGTTCACCTAATTAGGATGTAAATACCTTCAAATTAAAGCTGAAAGTCTGCAGTTAAAGCACATCTTGTTCATTTCATTTCAAATCCATTGTGTTGGTGTATAGAGCCAAAAAGATTAGAATTGTGTCGATGTCCCAATATTTATGGACCTGACTGTATATATGGGGTAGTATGGAACCCTACGTACATCACAACAAGGAATGATTCCTTACAGATCAGCTTGCATAATTGGCAAATTTTTATAGGAGTGACTAACTTAACCTATTAGGACAATTTAGACATGGAAAAGTTAGTTTCAGGTCTGTTTATATATACATGCAAATATACATTTTACTAACCACTCAGTACACAAGGGGTGGTATATTTTATAATACCCAATATACAGTTTACAGTTGTTTAATTTTAATTTAACCAAAACTCCTCCTCACAACTTTTTGCAATGTGCACATAAAAATATAGCACTAGATAATTTACATTAAAATTTATAATAATAAATAATAAAAACATATGCAGGAAAGAAATAGCTGATGATACCAGTATGTTACAACTACACATTTTATTTCAGTTAGCAATTCCTTGGCACTATACCAGTCTGATATAGAGAAAAAAAGTAACACAATAGTCACCCAGACTACTTCATCTTAATGAAGGTCTGGGTGCAGTGTCCCTATCTTTCTGAGAAACTGAAATGTTTACGCTGCAGGGTTATTATTATTATTATTTATATACCGCCAACAAATTAAGTGCTGTACAATGGGTGGACTAACAAACATGCAATTGTAACCAGACGAGTTGGACGCACAGGATTTGGGGGCCCTGCTCAATGTTTCATTTACTAAATGTATTTTAGCTATCATATATACATTTTTGTGCTTTACTTATAATTACTGCTGATGTTTTGTAAAAACTTGCAGTGCATTATAGCTTCAATTCCTTTAGAATCTAGCAAGACACAATGACATGTATACATTTCTTATTCTATCTGTTATAATATGAAAAGTGTTTCTCCAAAGTCATTCATGCAATGCCAGAGTGTAATCACTTAATTAAGCAATATGTTTCCTATCTAGTAGTTCTGAGATGTGTTTATTTCCCTTTGGTAGGATTATTTCAAATATAATTTTTATTGGATTTCAGTATAACAATACACTTAGTAAAAAATTGTCCAGCTTCTTCCTCAAAGTATTCAGTAATCTTTTATTAGTGCCATCTCTCACAACACTGATATGAATGCAGGGGAAAAAAATGCTAAACTGCTTCAGTTGTCTCATAATTATATGGGTCAGGGGAATCCATACAGACTGACCTATGCTGAATCGTAGAAACAATACTTATTATAGGAAAAATAACTTATCATAAAAAAGAAAATTATACTTAGCAGTACAACCAGAAAAAAACATATAGAAAATACAAATCATGATAATAAGTCATTGTATATACATTAAAGAACATAAAATCATGCTGGAAAGAAAAACAGTCTTTTGACAAAGCATATCATAAAAGAGATTTAAACTAAATTTATTGTGTCATATGTGGAAAAAGTACTCGCCTTTGAGTGATAATTATATTCTATGTATTTGCTAATGATCAATATCACAATGATAATTCTGAATGTAGACAACTTAGTGTGCCCCACTTTTAGGTTGTGGACAGTATAGTGGAAACAAATCACAGTTGATTAATGCTATTATTTATTAATGCTTTTGGTTTAAAAAATAAAATCCAGAAAACAAACACAATAGCAGATCTACTTAAGATGTTGTGATAAGGTCATTGCCATGGGATTCTAAATAATAATTTTAAAAAAATAGAAACCTAAAGCAATATAAATTTATGGCACAACCACATCTGAATGAGTGATTCCAACAGACTAATGAACTATTTAGTATGCTGGGCACCTCAGGTGTCATATATCTTCTATAAAGAATATTTTATGTAATTTTATAGTTTATAGTGGAAGCATCCCTTAGAGTTTATATATTCATACTACCTTCATTCATGCTACCTTTAATTCTTCTGCAAGATATGTTTTACCCAATTTCCTAACTCACTTGATTGCAAAGGATGACTTTAGAATATCATTAGAGACTAATAAGACACTTTGGAACCCAAGGATTTTTTCTATATTAACTCTACCATGCAAGTGGCTTAATTCTTTTAATATCTCTGCTGGTATGCATATAAAGATGATAGATTATTGCAAGGTATTAAAATGCACTTTATGAGAGATATGTTTGTTTTTGACAGGATCTTGGAATGAATATCATTGCAATTACATAAATAAACTTCTTATCATTGTAGGGGTAGCAAGATTTAATACCACTAAGGATGACACTAGTGAATATTTTACCAATTACTAATTTTGATTTAAATGTTGCAATGTGTACATCAATTCAGAATGCCTAACAATCTCTAAAGTAAAATGTAAACTACCACAAACATTAATTGTAAAAATGCCTCAATATTTTTTTTTTCACTTAATGTATTATCTGCAAATTCTCAACTCTGGTTTATAGATTTATCAATTATTTTAATATTAAATATATACACATATATTCATCAGTAGTGATGTCGCAAACCCGAAATTTTCGGTTCGCGAACGGCGAATGTGAACTTCCGCAAATGTTCGCGAACCGCCATAGACTTCAATGGGCAGGCGAATTTTAAAACACACAGGGACTCTTTCTGGCAACAATAGTGATGGAAAAGTTGTTTCAAGGGGACTAACACCTGGACTGTGGCATGCCGGAGGGGGATCCATGGCAAAACTCCCATGGAAAATTACACAGTTGATGCAGAGTCTGGTCTTAATCCATAAAGGGCATAAATCACCTAACATTCCTAAATCACAATGGATATGGATTGACACCTGACATATGATATATTGACACCTTGACATATGGATTGACACCTGTCCTCAGAGCCCCTGATACACACTGACACAGAGCAGAATAGAGACTGTTCCCCCTACATAGGGTCACTTGGCAGATATGGATTGACACCTGTCCTAAGATCCCTGATACACACTGACACAGAGCAGAATAGAGACTGTTCCTCCTACATAGGGTCACTTGGCAGATATGGATTGACACCTGTCCTCAGAGATCATGATACACACTGACACAGAGCAGAATAGAGACTGTTCCCCCTACATAGGGTCACTTGGCAGATATGGATTGACACCTGTCCTCAGAGCCCTTGATACACACTGACACAGAGCAGAATAGGGAATATTCACTAAATGCCAAACATTGCTATACAGGGGAATATTCAGTAAATAAGCATAAGGGGGAGCCTACTGTCCTCCCCCCCGGCCCCCACCCCTGCAGGGTGGGTGGAGGCAATAAATCTCAATGGGGGGGGACCTACTGTCCTCCCGCACGCCCCCACCCGTGAACGGTGGGTGGGGGCCATAAAAATAATGAGGGGGGGACCTACTGTATGATGTTGTATCGATCAGGTAGTGTAAGGGTTACGCCCGCTTCACAGTGACAGACAAAACTCCCTGTTTAACGCACCGCAAACAACCGCAAACAGTCCATTTGCACAACCGCAAACTCCCCATTTGCACAAGGTTGGATACCAAGCTAGCCATGTCCTGTTCCTTGTCCTCACTGAAGTCATTGAAGGTCTCTTCCTCCACCCAGCCACGTACAACACCAAGGGTCCCCGAAAGGTGACAACAAGCCCCCTGGGATGCCTGCTGTGTTTGGTCTTCCACCTCCTCATAGCCACCTTCCTCCTCTGACTCCTCTTCTTCAGACTCCTCTCTCTGCGTTGCCTCTCTCTGCGTTATTATAAGGTGTGTTAAGTAGTATTATTGTTATCAGTTTAATCCCTGTTATGTGCCTTTTTTTGGTTTGTTTTTGAAACCACAGTGCAGCACCAGAGGCCCGAAAAATTAGGCATGTAGACATGCCTGAAAAATTAGGTATTGTAGCAGCCGCTGCTGCAGCGGCCAGAAAAATTGATGTTTGTTTCCCAGGCAGAAAGTGCCCTAAAACAGTGTTCCCCAACCCCCGGGCCGTGGACCGGTACGTGGATCAAACGTTTACCGGTCCGCGGCGATAAAAAGGTTGGGGAGCACTGCCCTAAAACATTGCAGCTTGAACCCTAGTTGGTGGCGGATAAGTCACGCAAGTCAACCGGCATTCAGAGCTAAAATACAGCAGCGTGTGGACCATTTTTAGCCCAAGGCAGCTCATCTCATCAGGCCTTTTTTAGTCGGATGTATCGCCCACTGTCAGTCCCGTCGGGATCCATCCCTCATTCATCTTAATAAAGGTGAGGTAATCTAGACTTTTTTGACCTAGGCGACTTCTCTTCTCAGTGACAATACCTCCTGCTGCACTGAAGGTCCTTTCTGACAGGACACTTGAAGCGGGGCAGGCCAGAAGTTCTATCGCAAATTGGGATAGCTCAGGCCACAGGTCAAGCCTGCACACCCAGTAGTGAAGGGGTTCATCGCTCCTCAGAGTGTCGATATCTGCAGTTAAGGTGAGGTAGTCTGCTACCTATCGGTCGAGTCGTTCTCTGAGGGTGGATCCCGAAGGGCTGTGGCGATTCGTAGGAC